TTTATTAAACTATCATTCTCAAAACCCAAAGTTTTTAAAGCAATTTTGCCTGGAAATACCAGCCTTGTTGGTTTTTTAAAACTAATCTCTTCAAATGCTATGCAATACTTTCTTTCAAGTCCAGCAAGTTCATGTGAGCAGAATCTAACCAAATCTGATACTTAAATGCATGGATAATTTTTTAGAAATCAATAACTGCTACCAGCCAGAAAATATTTTTTGTGTGAATTACAAAACACTAATAAAGACACAGAGGAAGATACCACTATTTAGCATTATGACCAACGCATTGTTCTGAAAGGAGCAGTTACATTTGTGCACTGATAGTCTCTGTGATCTCTCCCCCTCAGAGATTTATAGCTGCAGGCTGCTCTTGCCTTGCACTGGCAGATCCTTGGGTTGCTGTGGTGGTTGCTTGCTGTGCCTCCCCAGCCTCCACACACAGTCATGAGGGTGATCATCCAGCCACAGCAGTAACAAGTACTGGGATAGTCCAGCTTTCTTTTTCTCAGGTCCACAGCTTGGACATATTGTGCTGTTCCATGCTCCTGGCATGATTCCTGGTGTGAAAAACACCATTCACTTTTGTTAAAATTTTAGAAGTTTAATAGTAATGAATATAGTAATGAAAATAGTAATAAAAATTAGGACAATAAGAGACAATAAAAAGCAAAGAATTACGGATGTCTGGGTGCCTGGCACTCTACCAAAAAACACCCCTTGCTAACAAAAGATTACCCCTTTAAAGCAATAGCCTATTGCATATTCATATATCTCATACATGATTCAAACATTCCTTTCAAAGTAGGGTGTTTCTGTTTAATTTTAGCCTCCCCCACTGCGTCTTGTAAATCAACCTTCTTGGTTCCTCGAAGTCTGAGCTTTCCCGATAAGGAGACAATAATTCTTCTCTTGGGATCTTGGTGTCTGCTGCTGTTATCTCTATCCAGTTAGGATAATGCAAAGAATTTCTTGATTATCTTTTCCATTTCTTGAGCTAGTTACAAAAAGTATCTTATGTCACACAGTTTCTATTGTAATATTATGCTATATCCTAAAAACTATATTTACCACACTACTTAAAAGAGATTAATACAGCATAACTTTCCAACATAACACATATAGTATTAATTTTAATATTTGCAAAGAGCTAATCATATAATATGGATTTTTCACACTAGGGTATGCTGGCTTTTGGAAGATGTCCAAAGGACAGGGCTTCTGGAAACCCTTGGCTACTTACAAGAATGTGAGGAGATGCGGTCTATAATCCAGATGCTGGTGCAACTTAGGAACAAATGGAGAAAGCTCCGACTTTATTATGGTATTTAGCCACCTAGACTGCATGACAGAGATGGTCTTGCAATGACACACAAATAAAACTACAGGTGATAAGTAAGTTACTTCTGCTGCCTGATCACACCTGTGCACAGTGCTTCCCTATACTGGATTATCTTTTCCACAGGAAACAACTGTAGGAAACAGTAAGGTCATTGGCTGTGTCAGAACTCCCACTGGGAATCTGTTGTGGTTCCCAGAACATGTGTGTGCACATGCATAGTCATCTCCTTCCCATAACCATGTTTTTGTCTGGGTTCTTAACTACTAGGCTCGAGCAAAAGTCACATTTTCTTAAAAAGCAATTTCAAGCCTTTTTTGTTGTAACAGGCTTACAAATGCTAAATTTACACAAGTGACCACCACAACATGTAACAATGTGGTTTTGTTTTCTTTCTGCTTGCATATACATTTGGGAAAAAATTGCCATATTTCATTTCACCAAAAACAACCAAGTGGTGTATTTCTCCTTCTCATTGGATGCAGACATTTTGTGCTCTTCATTTTGCCAGTTGACACGAACTAAAAATGTTTAATTACTGAGAAAAATTGAAATTATATAACATTGAAAGCATCATTCTGAGTTGTGGTTTGATTTCAGAAGATGAGAACAATGCAACTCCTAATAATCTTATCCTAAAATACACTGAGCTGGTTCATACTGAGGAAGCAGAGAGTCTGAGTATTCCTGGTAAGTTATGATTTCCCTGTGCTATGCCAAAAAGCTTTCTGCTTCACCACAAATATCTTTTGAGTTCTCTGTAGAAGCAGTGCATTCTTCTCACAGTGAAGGAGGAGAGATGAGAACCTCTGCTCCTGTAACACCAGTCCATATAGCGATGAGTGGGGCAGGAGTAAAGCAGATATGTGTAAAGGTGCAACACCTGCAAGCGAAACTGTGGTTGGCATCTGAGGGTAATAATGCCTGTCCCAGTGACCTGAGCAAACCTGATGTCACCAGTATGTCTAAAAATTGGTTGGCTATCTTAGGTGGGCTGCCTAAAAGTGACATACTTCAGGGGCTTCAGGTTCTGCAGCTCCACCTGTGCACATTCTGGTGAGCAGAGTGGTTTGCTCCCAGGGCACAACTGGCTCCTAACCAGGGCTCTTCCTGAGAATTGCCCCATGGTTACAACTTCTAACCCAGTGCTTTCCTTCCTTCTTTCACCTGAATGGAGATCAGAGTTTTAAGTCAGTTCATGAGTACTCCTTGGCTGTCTTTTTTCCTGTGGGGACACTCCATGCCTCCCTTCTTCCTGACTTACTAGAACTCTCTAAGTCTGTGTGCATAAAATTCCCTGTACAAAGCTAGAGCAAGGCATCTTGCCTTTCCCTAGTGATGCAGTGAATTTTCTGTCACTTGAAAGCCCTAAATCAGAATTAGCATCTCTTCAAAGAAGCCCCCTGCCAAAAGGAAGATTTTGAGGCAGGAATTACTACTGGTTGAAGATTTCTGCCCAGTAAATCACATCAGCCTTCTCTAATTTTAGAATGTATATTTGATGGATAAAACTTATTCTAAATGCACTGATAGTTTGAGAATGACAGTTCTTTCCATGTAATAACATCTGCTCACTGCTTTGCTATTAGTCTACGTAATACTTGCCAGCAACACAGCAGGGAAGTTCAAGCCTTTCTGGTGATGAATTTTTACTGAAAAAGCCAAGGCACATATCCCAGAGCTCGAGGGTGCTCTAACTGACTGGAAAGCCATTACAGAGCTCTGCTGTTTTCTTCAGTGCAGAGGCTGGGTTTGTTCATAACAGCACTGGCTGACATTAACAGATCTGCACAGAGCAGTGAATTAATGGTGCTCCCCATGCAGTGAATGCTTGTTGCTATCACAGACATGCTGATGTGTGGTACAGCCCCTCAAAGTCTTCCACCACGCCCATACATCACCTTCACCAGTCTCTCTTTGTAAGACAGCTTCATTTTTAGACTGTCCTTCATGTTTTGAGTTGATTTTGCAGATGTGGAAATTAAGCAAAGCCTGACCAGACAGCTTCTTGCAATTGTATAAGAAGTCTGGAACAGAAATAGATTATTGCAGTTTTGCTGAGTTTTCACTATTCTGTGATCCTTGTGTTCCCATGTCTTAACCACATTCTTTAGGAAGCTGACTGTATTTCAAAGTTAAACACACCAGTGGTTTTTCCACTGCTTGTTGGCTGGTCATGCTGCTTTCCTGATCCTTGTTCAATTCTTGAGTCTATCTCTGCAGCTTCTGGGGAAAGGAGCTACAAATCAAAGAAGGTGTGTTGAGTCTCCAGCCCCAGTTAAAAAAAAAAAAAAAAAAGTACATATCTGGTTTTTATTAACTGTACCACTATGGTAACTCATCTCTTCAGTCCCTAGTACAACACCAAATTATGTAATGCTGAGTCATCATATGATCCACTTCCTGAAGCATCAACTCCATTTGTTTGCATACAAGGTTTACATCCTACAATCCATCCCACTTTCCTTGGTAAGTGTTGCTACATTATCTACATGTATGTACCCCTATTCAGAATAATAGCTTTTAGTTGCACTGAATTCCTAAAGTAAGAGCAGTTAGGACTAGAAATAGAGTTTAAAATAGTTATATTAGATATTACAGCATTCACACACACACACATGCAGAAAGACACAAAGCAGTCAAGACCAGGGTCTTTCCAGAGAGTCCTTAATTTCTATTTTCCATAGCAGTAATACCTGTCTGTGCAGAAAATTCCTGTTGCTACAGGTTAGTGTCCACGAAGCAGACAGAGGAGTCCTGTGAAAGTACACACTTCTCCATCCATCTACAACACATCTCCTTAATATGAAGCCCTCCTTTAGAACACATGTGATCATTAAAATTAAGTTTTCAGTCTGTGCTGGGCAGAGAAGGAAATATTCATGCTTCTATCAAGTCTTTGTTCTTCTTCACGAAGTTCAGGAGTTTAGCACGACCTTGGCTGATTAGCCACCTGTGTCAAATAGTAAAGCTTTCTAAAATTAATGTGTTCTCTCCTTTTTTCCTTATCTACCAACCTCTGGCTTTATCTACAAGCAGTGTGCTTGTAAAGACATATTCATCTGATATGATGACGCCTGTCATATCTGAATTTGGCTTTGCAAGTTCCTGACATCACATGGGAAGCTGAGAAATCCTTGACTACTGCCTAGTACTGCCCATGATTCTTAGCGAATGAGGCTGGAGAAAGTATTTCGGGAACATCGAGGAGAGGTCTCAGCTCCTGTTAGGAAAGCACGACCTTACAGCTGTCCTTGGAACAATCATGTTTTCTCCACGCAGGAACGGGCGTGTGCCGGCCGTGCGAAGCGCCAAAGCAGCCTGCAGCGGGCTTGGTGCACTACAGCTTTCAACTTCAATTTGATGCCCGCCCCCGTAAGATCCGCATGTTTAAATGCCCTAATCACTAAATTTATTAGATCCCAGCTACTCAAAACCAGGTGTTTTAGTAACTATATTAGCAGGCAAGTGGTCTCAGCAGTGTCCTTGCGAGCAGGACAGCCTGCGGCGGCCGGCCCCACTCGGACCCTCCCTCGGCAGCGCACCAGCCGCTGCCCGGGGAGCGCGGCAGCGGAGCGCACACGCGGGCTGACGACAGCGGAAGCCGGGCGGCGGGGCCGGGCCGGCTGCGGGGCAGAGGCGGTGCCGCTCCGCCCGCGGCGCCCCGGGCTGCCCTGCCCATCCCAGGACATCCCAGCCCTGCCCATCCCAGGACCTCCCAGCGCTGCGCGCTCCTGCATGCGGGAGCGGCGGGGGAGCCGCGTTGCCCCGCTCCGCCAGCATGTCCGCCCGCTGCTGCGCCGGCCAGGTAGGGTCGGGGGCGCGGGGAGCGCGGCAGGTGTGCGGGCGAACATTCCCGGGATTCCCGCGGGGGACCCACCCGGGGGTGCCGCGGCGGGGAGCGAGGTCCCGCGGAACGAGGTCCCGGGGCGGGGCCGCGGCGGTGGGCGCTCTCCGCGGCAGCGGAGGCCGGGGTGGGCAGGGGCCGGCGCGCCGCCCCTGCGCCGCTGCCCCGCGGCTC